TCTTCTCTTCTCTTCTCTTCTCTTCTCTTCTCTTCTCTTCTCTTCTCTTCTCTTCTCTTCTCTTCTCTTCTCTTCTCTTCTCTTCTCCTCTCCTCTCCTCTCCTCTCCTCTCCTCTCCTCTCCTCCATTCCATTCCATTCCATTCCATTCCATTTTCCAGCCAGGAATATTAGTAGAATGCTAAAAAGACATTCTAAATGTCTGGTTGTCATAACTGTGACTTACAAGTTACCTTTGTTATAGACCTAACATAAAGTCTCCCTCAGGTCAAACTTAACTTCTGATGACCTTATCGATCCATTTGTGTACTTTCCTTCACAAAGACACAAAAGTCATTTGTCACTGCCTTCTTCTGAGATTTTTTTTCTTCCAATTTCCCATTCTGGTCTAATTTTTGGATTTTCTGGTGTTCTCCAATCATATACTAAGCAACTCTATTTAGCTTGTCTAAAATCAGATGTTTTCTGCTCCCTGCTCTATATTGCATATCATTATTTTCTTCTAAGACAAGTTGCTTAAAAAGAGTTATCAAAGTGCTCAGTAGAAAAACTGATTTTATGATTTTATGGTGCTTATTTGTTACATCGTCTCCTTCTCCTTACCGATTTGGCTTTTTAGGATATTAATACTTGGGTTTTTTGAGGGGGGGATCTTGATCTTCTTTTACTTTTTTATTATTTCTTTGCCACCACAAGTCACAACTTGTGTATGGGATGTAATATGCATATAGGAAAAATATTATATCTGTTAGACTGCATTCCAAAACTACCATGGAGAAAAAGATAATGTGGCTGATAAATATTTCATATTCAAAGCTTATCTAAAAGAGAAGCAAAATAAAGTGCTTGGGTTTGGATGTTCTAGAATAAGATAGGCTATTGAATGGAAAGGGGATCTTAGATTTTTAATTTGCATTTCATCTAAACAAAAAAAATCAGAAAACACATAACTATCCTTATTTTATATTAGGCAAATTTGGAACGAGTTTTCAAAAAGTATTTTAGGGCATTTTTTAAAGTTGCTTTTGCAAATTGCAGGGTTTTTCTACATCTACCATTTCAGATTTATGCATAGCATTGTTTAAGTGTTGTTTAAGGTTTAAAAGATGAAAAAACGTTTGAAGCAGTAAGTCATATAAAAAGTAGGAAGATATACAAAATACAAGCAGATTCTTAAAGGATCTCAAAGAAATGAAAGTATGATTCTACTTCACCAAATGGAAACAGTTAATACAAATATAGAAAGGCAAAAAAACCCACCCCTTGATCAAAAAGAACAAGCTGACAACTCCATCAGCTGCTAGGAACTCCTGACAAGACTTATAATGGCTCAGCAGCAAGGAGAACCCCATGCAGACATACACAGTATCTTTCTAGCCTAAGTCTTTGCAGCACTTCTTATACCTTACAAAGCATTCTATCAAGTTGTCATTCTACATGTTCCAGTGCAAAGTGAAGAGTATAAACAAAGCTAAGGTAAATAGAAGGCAAAGAAATATCATCTGGACTCTCAACATGCTGCCCCTTAATCAGGTCAGAGTGATGCCATTTTTGCAATTTTTAAGATATTAAAAATTAATATCTTAATAAAATAGTTAATAAAAATAGTTGTTTGGAGATAGAGGAGAGTTTGAAGGTAAACAGGCTAGATTATTGACTGTTTTATCTTGTTTTGTCTTGAAATTTTAGGGAAACACCTAAAAGCACAAGGCATAGCTTCTCTTCGGGTGCAAATAATAACTCCACAGAAGTAGGAAGAGAAAGATTTATCAATCTAGTTTTGGAATTTCCATGACACATTGCACCATCAGTAAAAACGTTGGCTGGTTTCACTCAAACAAAATGGGATTGGCCAATTTGTGACTCAGCATATTGTATACACTCAGCTAAAGGACTGAAAGTTCTGCATTTCATCATTGCAAGCTACAATTACTTAGACTTCTTAAAAATTGTTTCTTTCATTGCAAAATCATAGATGTTAATCATATTCATGTTTCATCCAGGGCAGTGGTGGGATTCAAATTTTCTTTACTACTGGTTCTGTGGGCATGACTTGGTGGGTGTGGCAGAGGAAGGATACTGTAAAATCTCCAGTCAGAGGTGGTATTTGGCAGTTCTCCGAATTACTCAAAATTTCCACTACCAGTTCTACAGAACTGGTCAGAACATGCTAAATACCACCTCTGATCCAGGGTACCATTATGCAAATTGTGTTTTCAAAGGAGATTGTATCCTCATGAGTATTATATGATCTGTTAACATACTGTTTGGTTTTGCGGAATGTCTTAATTTTTAAACCACACCTCAGAGATAAACAAACTTCAACAAGATTTCAAACAACTTGAATGAAACCTAAGATATTTGTAGTGTGATGTCCATTTGAAACTGAAGGATGGCCTTTAATGTTGCAGATGGCACTTTCCATTTATATCTACAGGATTCTAGAGTTGGACCTGATTGTTAGAGATGAAGATGGCAATATTTTGGATCCTGACAAAACCAGTGTCATTAGTCTCTTCCATGCACATACAGAAGCTACAAAAAAAATCACAGAAAGAATTAAAGAAGAAATGGTATGGGGTTTGCATTCTATCTTTCTACTTTCAAACAGAACTTTCCTTGTTTATTCCCATGAAGGACTTATCTGTAAAAGCATCAGGAGCAGCTTAGAAATCACCTCCCCTGCCTGATTCAGTATGCATATTAAAAATATCTCCTCACACCAAGTATTTATTCTGAATTCCCAGCTTTTTTAAAATGTTGATTTCAATCCATCAGTAAACCAATAACGTAATTTAGACTTCCAATTAACACACATATTGGAGAAGACCAAAAAGCCTAGAGCAAGTTTTTTTAAAAATGTCAGATATACCTTACCTAGTCTTTAAAAACAATGTGCATTGGTAAATCTTTGTAAAAATGACAAGGGGATTAAATTTAAAAGGGAGGACAAGGCCTTTCTTATTATCCATGTCTGTAAGCTTTAAGTCAAACAAAGTTCGTATGAGGAAAGTGAGCAGCGCACTGATCCAGATTTTCTAAAAGCTAGTAACTTATACTACATCCTGTGCTAGCAACGTAGTTGTTTTTGATGTTTGTAGATACAACTCTATTATTCTGTATTCCTATTGAAGCACCAGGTTCCTATAATTATCATGATGGTAGTAACAATTGTGCATAGTGAGCAATTCCAGACTGTTTTCAGGTAACCAGGTCTGCTGGGACATGATATCTTTAAGCACATATTTCCTGAACAGACCTTTTTTTTTTTTTTTGTGAGATCTTTATCTAATTTCTAGCTGAGTGGAAAAGAGTATCTGTCCTTTCCCTGAAAATTAATGCTAAATTTGCTTAAACGTATAACCAGCGAACAATGCTACATATTTAAAAATCAGTAGCACATAAAAAGTTACAATGGTAGCATGTGAAGCATAGAGCCGAAGACAGAAGCCTGAAGATGATGAATGAGACTTCATCGAAACGTTGCCTAGATACTTCAAATCTTACACGGGAGAAAACCCGAACAACCAAAGATACACACACACACACACACACACACACACACACACACACACACATATTCCTCGCCAAACAACTACAACCCTATGCAGAATCCATCAACTCACACGTAAG